GACTTGGAAAATGCCCTTTTGTAGAGCACCACAGCCTTCATAAAAAAGGGGAAAGGTTAGAGCAACAAAAGCAAAGCACAGGCGTAACTCTAAAGGACAGAAAACTCACTTGTTTGAAGAGTCGGCGAGCCTCATCAAAAATGAAAGAAGCATCCGGGTCGGGGCCATCTTCAATCCCTGCGAGACGTTCTCGGAAGATGTCATGCCCTTCAAGGCTCGCCCCCACTTCAGAAGATTTCATATTCTGAGCATATCGAATTTGCCCCTCGGAGAACTCGGGACCAGGCGGTGAGTCATCCACATTGATTACCCCAAGTGGTCCGCTCAGGGCATTCTCTTTTATTTGAAGGTAGTCGGGATCGGGCCTCTCAGCCTCGCCCCACAAATGGCCTCCTTGGCAAGGTGCCTTTTTACTGCCAGATGGCTCGAGGACTTTGTTTGAACTCCCCTCGGAGATCTCTTCGACTCTGGAATGAACCACATCAACTATCACCGGATCGACGGACTTCGAAGCACCGATGCCTCCTCTTTCACGGGCTACCATAAGGTAGTCATCATCATCTTCTTCTTCTTCTTCCTGAAAACTCGAAGGCGTTGGGCCGTTTCCGGAGATAAGGACACCGTATCGACCTTGTACTTTCGAGCTGTGCTTTTCTTGGGCTTCGAGGAGTTTGCAGATGGCTCCCTTTTTCTTTTCTTTTCTTTTCTTTAGAAGGTTTCGGGGTCTCTTCTTCACCACCCGGGGTCGGCCGCATAGCAACGGCGTCTCCAAGACCTGCACAAAATCGAAGTAAGTATTCCAAGAAAATACAAGTAAGCAAACGGAAGAACTCACCATGATTTTTGGCCTCCCATATGCCTTTTGCTAAATCTCGCTAGCAACGCTCCAAATAAGAGGAAGTGGAAGCCAGTTTTCGGACCCAGCCTTCGAGGTCCGGGACCCCACCAGGAAACCAAGCAGTAGCTACACCATCAGAAAAGGGTTAAATCGAGCGGAAAGATAAAATCGAGAAAAGGAAAAAGGAAGCGGGGTATAAACCTATTATGTACTTACGTTTCATGTTCCACTCCTCGGGGAACGGCATCCATTCAGCAGGAATTAGGTCGGAGGTCTTGACTCGGACAAACCGCCTCATCCACCCTCGGTCTTTATCCTCATCAATACTAGAAAAAAGAGATTTCAAGGATCGGCGTTGCAGTTTTATCAAGCCACCGCGATAAAGTCGAGGACTATACAGTCTGATCAGATGGTTGAGGTTGAAAGGCATTCCCTCGACCTGACTCGAAAAGAACCTAATCAAATGAACGATTCGCGAACGAAGGATAGATCTGGCCAAGCGTCACTCGGTACCGTTGGAAAAAGTCAAAAATAACCGGATCTATGGGACCCTGAGTTGGGATTACATGGCCCAGCATGAATGGGTAGGTATACACGCTTAAGTACCCCGCTTTGTATGTAGTGATATCCTCCTCGGGGGGAGGGATCACTACTTTTTTGTTCTCCCACTTGCAGTCATCCTTAACTTGTGCAAGCTCATCCTTGGTTATCAAACTGACGTATCGAGATATGGGCTCGCATCGGCCTGATGTCGACACGAGTTTCTCGATCTTGAAATCGGATGTTATTTCGCATGGCAGAGGAATGCACTCCTCAATACGAGGGGGCACTCTCGGTTTACTCTTGGTCGATCGAGAAGATGAAGAAGCCTTTTCTTTCTGGGGAACCGATTTAGAGGTCTTAGCCATTATAATGAGGAAATTCAAAATGTTGACAATGAAGTAAGGACTGATAGAATAGAAGGGAGAATTCAGAGAAATTGAAAGAGCTAATGAGACTTTGAGAACAATATGAGAATAAAGTTCGCAAGATTGTGAAGTTTATCTATTTATAGAGGTCATTCAAGCCTACTAAGGAAGCCAAAAAGTCGACCGTCAGTCGCCCCCAATAAATGACTTTGGAAACCGCACAAAAGCAACCTTTTCAGTCACTTCAACCGCTGACGTCACAAGATTGGCATCAGAATTGAGGCGTCGAAGATCAATTCATTTTTTATCAATCTATTTCGAGTTCGAGCAAAGTGCTTAATTACTAAGCCCAAGGGCTACCCGAGTTTGAGAAATTTCTCACTCGGGGACTACAAAAAAGCCTAAGGGCTAACTTCATTTCAAGATTCGAGCAAGTACTCGCTTGACTACTAAGCCCAAGCGCTACCCAAGTTCGAAGGAATTTCTCACTCGATGATCGTCTACAGAGCCTAAGGGATAACTTTATTTCAAATTCGAGACCTTGCTCTCACTTAACTCGGACTCAGGAATCCTGATGTTCCGAGTTCGCATCGAATCGGTTTAAGCTCAGCTCGAAGATTAACAAGAGCCTTAAGGGATATTACACTGGTTGATTAAAAACCTAAAGGTATATTATGTCCTAAGTCCGGTGTTTGGGCTAGTCCTTAAAATTATACAATCAAATTTTTCACAAGTAAAGACAGAACGGAATTGAACACGAGCCAAAAAGAAGATAAAGGTATTCTTTTATATTTCCGAGAGATGGTTATAAAATATAACTACAACACCCACGAAGGGTACTTACACAAAAACAAAGAAGCAAAAAACAAAAGCCAAAAACCTAATCTACTTTTGAGGCCACGTCCTCGAGAGCATCATCTTCTAGAGCCTCCTTCCCGGGGACCCCGTTTTGACCGTTGGGAATATCTTTGTGCCCGAAGAGATTTGAGGCAGAAAGTCTTCGATAAATGTAACTATATTTTTAGTAGCGGGGATTGAACGTTCTGTTGAAATTTTGGGCCGTAATCCTTTAAAAAATAGCAGCAAAAGAAAAAGACCAGAAGGGAAGACCGGAAGATGTAGCTTCGCCTTCTATCACAAGAAAAATCAGAAGGGTTGCAAGATGCACGAGCAACGATCCAAGAATGTTTATCCTTGGGACATTGCTCCGGGGTAGGATGCAAAGGTTAGTAGAAGATAGTGCCACCTCATTCCATGGAGAGCAAAAGGAATGAAGTGCTACACCAGGTTGAAGTTAAGAGAGATAAGCAGTAGTGTAAAGTTCGCATATTTTCTGATGCGAGAAGGATTCGGCGCCCTCCTCACGTTGTTTCGATTCAAAGCTTCGAAAAAGGGAACCTTGGCATAACTGGTAAAGTTGCTGCCATATGACCATGTTCGGACCATGGAAATAGACGAGTAAAGAAGGAAGCAAAGAAGGGAAAAGATCAAAAGTAGATAAAGATGAAAAAAGCACAGTTCTTTGTTCAACAGGATAGCCTCCTATTTATAGAAAGGCGGGGACGGATCGGCGGCGCAAGTGGCCGACCAACACTGACACGCATTTGATGTTTTTGGGAAGAACGCCGACGTGACATTTCCGGTCATTTCAAGCACCTACGTGAAGTCGAGGTGCAAATCGTTTCTTATCATCTTATTCTAAGAAACGCGGGGACTATCTGTATACGGTCAAAGTCATATGCCCCCGGTGTAGAAGCTCGAGGTTCCGCCCTAGGCCAGAGTCTGAGAGAGGTCAAGTTCGAAAGTGGACCAGGCTCGAACTCGAAGACAGAGCGTAATGCCCGGAGGCAGGAGTTCGAAGAATACCGAGGCCAAGTGCGCTCGACCTCGAAATAGTACCGTTATGGATTTGTACCAGAGCGAGCTAGATTCCTGCCACGTCCCTGAGATCATGGCGCAAATTCCGGAATAAGATCGTACAATTCCGTACTAGGCGGTTAGACAGCTGTAACAAGAATATTCCCTACTGTAAATAGAAATATTTCTTATTCAGGGGTCCTCTATTATAAAAGGGAACCCCAATCATTTGTAAGACCATCTTTTTACTGATCAAAGAATATACTCTCTACCTTTTCGCCTACTGTTCATCAGCATTGTCCTTTAACTCTATTGTTCTTATTTTGCTTTTATACTTGTTCTTATTATACCAAGCCTACCTCGAGGTCCTTGTGCTCGAGGTCATTGCTGTTGAATAACATCGGGTTCGATTCACCTTTCTCTTTCGTTTTTACTTCATATTTCTTGATTATTAATTGGTATTGAATTAAAAACACGTATCTTTAAAATCACAAATCAAATTTAATTGTTACTCGTATTTTTCGAGGCAAACATCTTTCATTCTCAATGATGTCCTGATGGTAAATCAAACTCTTTTGGCATAAGAGCTGTTTTGAAAATCAACAGACATGATACCACAATACCGTATGGGAAGATCCAATTCCCATGCGCTGGTCGGATAATGCGAATACCTCCTCGTTTGCGTCCTACCTTTTTCACTTTTACCTCTCCGTTCTCTACGTATATATGCCTTTAAAGTGCTGACTAATAAAAGACTAAATCATGACCAGATTCAAATACCATTTAGTATCTAAATTGTTGTTCAAAGTCCGAAGGGCAAATTACAAAGATTTAAAAATAAAACATGAATTGTGATATAATCAAACACTAATATATATTAACGAGTGACAATAATTTGAGGCGAGTAGACCATAGATTTTATGTGAAGGTCGACAAAGGCCAGAAAATGAGAAAAGCGTATTAATTTTAGTGGCAATACTAGCAACCTAAGTCATAGCCTCCTATGAAAGGCGTGGAAGTTTATAATAGTACTACTATTATGCTAGCTAGCTAGTATTACCATATTTTTGCAAAAATAGCAGAGCAAATTAATTGATGCATTATTGCCCTTACTCCACCATCCATAACTAACACACTACTAAAAAGAGCAGCCCGGTGCACTAAACTCCAGCTATGCGCAAGATCCGGGGAAGGGCCGGACCACCAAAGCTATAGTACGCAGTCTTACCCTGCATTTCTGCAAGAGGTTGTTTCCACGGCTTGAAGCCGTGACCTCCTGGTCACATGACAACATCTTTACCAGCTAAGCCAAGGCTCCCCTTCAACTAATACACTACTAGTAATAAGAAATTAGAAATGGGAATAAACAGTAAAGTGGTCGGGGAATTTTCATATATTAGCAAACTTTATGGGATTCTCAATATCATTTTCTACTTCCACGCCCATTATTAACGTATCAAAAGCTCCTCCTTTTTAACCTACTTTTCTTCACTCCTCTTTCTCTTCTGTAAGCTTCTCTAGTTGAAGGTTAAATACTGAGAGAAGCAAAACAGGAAACGAACAAGAAACTAAAGATGAAGGATTGGGCAGCTCCGATCATAGCGACAGCATTATTTGCATTTCTATGTCCAGGACTAATATTTCAAATGCCAGGGAAGAATAGGCCTGTTGATTTCATGAATATGAAGACTACCTTCGTTTCTATGTTGCTTCACACTGTCTTCTTTGGTTTGTTTCTTATTCTCTTCCTCGTTATTCTCAATATACATCTCTATGCTTAGCTACCAAGAAATTACAGATATTACTACCTGCTTTTTCCTTTGGATTCAATTCTCATGTTGTTTGTCCAATGGTTCCCATTCTGTTTCAATATTTCCGTTTCTTTTTCTATCTCAAGTCTCAACCAGCTATAATTCAGTCAAAGAGATGATGGATTGACTCAATTATTGGTGCCTTTAGAATTATTGAATTCAATAGTTTAATAATAAGAATCCTCCCGCTTTAAAGGGATAGAAGTTGAGTTTATGACCAATATTGTTCCTTATCTTTGAGGGTACGTCTATTTTGGTCCCTCAAATATAACTCTGAGCATATTTAGTCTCTTAAAGTGGAGCACATTTAGTCTCACTGACATAATATGTTCAAAACTAACGGTGTTACCCAACCCTGATTCATGAAGCAAATCTTCTGCTATGAAGCAAAATATTTCCTCTCCTTTTATTGTATAACGCAAATTATCACTTTAATTCCTTATTTTTAGATAATGTCTTCTTAAGTTTTGACCTTGAAAATATCCCCTTCTGTGCCCTTTTTCAATGAGAAAATAACACTGTATAGCCGTTGTAAAAATAATAGCCGAAAAAATATATAAATTTGTATACTTAAGGGAAAAATATATATCAAATTTTAACTTTTCGTTTAGGAAAGATCAACCGAAATTTTTAAGTGTAATATATATATATATATGTATATATATATATATATATATATATATATATATATATGTATGTATATATATATATATGTATGTATGTATGTATATATATATATATGTATGTATGTATGTATAGTTAAAATTTGAAAAAAATGGAGCTGTCAGGATCACTTCTAGGCATATTATTGAAGCAAACAAATAACCAGGTTGTATTATCACTTTTAGCTCGTGCCAGAAACTATTTACATCTGGTAGCCGAAAAAGTATATAAAATTTGTATAATTTTTGTATTTCATACAAAATGTGTGTGTGAATATATATATATATACATTTTTCGGCTATTATTTTTATAGCGACTATACAGTGTCATTTCTCATTGAAACTGGCACATAAGGGGATAATTTTAAGGTCAAAATTTTAGAAGACATTATCTAAAAATGAGGAATTAAAGTAATAATTTGCGTTATCCAATAAAAGGAGAGGAAATGTTTGCTTCAGAGTAGAAGATTTGCTTCATGAATCAAGTTGGGTAACACCGTTAGTTTTTGAACACATTGTGTCAGTGAAACTAAAGGTGCTCCACTTTAGCATACTTAAGGGACTAAATATGCTCAAAATTATATTTGAGGGACAAAAATAGACCTACCCTCAAAGATAAGGGATAATATTAGCCAAAAACTCTGCCAAAGTTAGTCCTTTGATAAATTGCAAATTAGCAATCACTCTATTTTAGGTGAAAAAACAAACAACCGCAAATAATTGATTTAACACAGCAAAATTTGCAAGTAAATGATTCTGATTTTGAGATGCATATGCAATTCAACAAACAGAAATTGCCACTATGGCCCCACACAACAATCAACATCCCATGGTGTCTTCCACTTGTTAGTAATTTATAGGTAACTAGTAGTGCGAGAAAAGATTACTAGCATTATTAATAACAGGATAGCAAAAGAAGAAAAAAGAGCATTTTATTAATAATCAGAGCTTTCCCAACCGATGATACATCACGTCAAATCATAAGAGATTGAATTGATATTTGAATGTTAAAAAAGAGAAACAAAAGCAAAAAAAAAAAAAAAAAAAAAAAAAAAGACAACCAAACATGACACAACCTAAAAAAGGTAAAAAAGGAAAATGGCCGTCCATGATCTCTAGGATTCTAGTAAAGAGTTAAGAACCCGTGTACAAATGGATCCCAATGGCTAATAAGAAGATGCAAATGAGAGCGAAGTACACAATTGAGTGAACCAGTATGGACACTCCACTAGTCTGAAAGTTGCTAAACTCAACAACTCGATTGCGACCTGGTACCTGAATCAGCAAACCTGGCGTTAACAGTACGAAGAGCACCACCGCCACAAACACCGGACCCCAATCGGACATCTTCCTCTCTTCACTCACCAAACGCTGTATGTTCTCTCCCCTTTTGGATTCGCTTAAGCACAACCACTAGTAAACACTGAACCTCTTATCAAAAAGTTATAGTGAGGATACTTTATTAGGCTATCGACCCCTCAAGTCCCAAGAGACTAGATGATCTCAAAGTTTTTCGAAGCCTTGTCAGAGTAGTATACTTTACATGTACACTGGTCTATCGTCTTCCCATACAGGGCAAGGTGTATACACTACTACAGGGTTCCCCTTATAACAATGGAATTTACACAAGAGAAGAGAGCCGGAGTAGAATGGAGTAAGCTAGGGGAAAACAGAACATTACCCAATGAAGGTATTCGGAGTCGCACTTTATCCTTTGCTTATATCACAACCTTGTGTCTATTAGTGGGGTTGCTGCTTTTGATGTTCAGAAGCACAAAGTAGGTTGCTTACGAGATCAACATTCTGATTCTCTCGACCGACCCCCAAACTCCCACAAGATACATTCTAAATAAATGCTTTGATCTTATTTTCCTCAAGACAATGTTGTCCTACCTTATTTCTTTACGAGAAATTAGTCGCGACAGATGACGAAAAGAACGTTCACGTCTTCCCTAAAACAAAAACTACGAATACGTTATACTAGACTGCCTGGCACTTTGACAGCATAAACTGCGGACTACATAGCATTGCGCCTGAGTCGACAAATTCAACAATTATGCTCCTTTAACAAAATCGTATAAATTGAGCTGGATGAAATTTTGCAACACGAATGGCTTGTGCAAAACAAACATATCCATTTCACCCGTTCTACTGGTGTTTGAGAAGATAACGTTTCCACTCTTTACCCCAATTGGTATAAAACCTCTCGCAAAACTATTTTTCTCTCGGTATACAAAACTTGTTATCACGTCAACTGTCAAAGGTGGCAATGCAAACAAAAAAAAAACAAACATGATAAGAACATCCAACAGAGTTCAGACAGAGAGAAATTGAGACTTAGAAGCAGCAATTATTAAAGCATATAATATCTCGCAACAAGGAAGAGCTCATTTGTTTTTTTTTTTAATAAAGTTTAATCCATTGATCACTCAACAAACAACTAGTAAACCAGTCTTTTACTGGCTGAGATATCCAACAGAAGCAATGTCTTTCAAACTCTTAGAATATATTCAGTAAACTTGTTCAGTGCCGAAGAAATCAATCAAGGAAACACGAACAAGGGACAATTCAACCCAGTATCCTTCATGCATAGTTCAACCGGAAAATGTCATTCATCACATAGAAACTCCCTTGTTGTGTAGGCATCAAATGAAACATCTGCAGACCAAGAAAGACAGAGGAAGAACTTAGAAATAGAGTGTGAATAAGCTCTGAAACATTGTAGTCATCAAGGAACGCCGGACAAAGCATTTTGCATGGGCTTTAGTATCTGCAATTTCTCACATATCCCATACAATGCAGCAGGGCTATTTTCAAAAATACAGATTCCGATAAAAAAATGAGGATGGGACTGTCAGTACTAAAAGTAATTCACAGAATCTTGTCACCTCTCATTTTTTTCGAATCATCAAGAAAACAGAAGGCGTTCAATGGTACGTTTGAATATTAGGGAAAGATGCAAGAAGCGGTAAATAAAAAGCAGGAGCTAGGAAAAGAAAGTGGAAACGGAGTATCTGGCTATCTTCTCTTCTAATTGGTACGATGACATCATATAATCTGTCTGCTCTAAGGATGAGGCCAAAGACCATCATTCAACAATGAGTGATGTTTCCTATAATAATGGGCCTCTGCTCTATGACTACTATGGAGGGAAACAATCAGGCCATGCTTCAGAAAATAAGTAAAGCAATCTGCTAAAGAATAGCTGATTCAATCAAAATAGAAAGTCAGACTTCATCAAAAAAAATATTTAAGTGAAAAGCAAGACAAAGAGATAATAAAGCAGTAGGTTGAAAGCCAGTAAAGCTACAAAAATTACCCTCACAGGTATTGCAGGATAACAAACGAAGCACCTTTTGGGTAAGAGATTGGAATTAGAAGCATATGTTCTCTTCTTCCTTAAGTCAGCTACATATAAAGAACTTCGAGTAAAACAATTGCCTTGGAAGTTAATTGTTTCCTTCTTCCTTAAGTTCTAAAACACAACCACTAACCCACTGCTTTATTTTCCTTGGGCATTGGCGGTCACATACATGTCATGTTACTTTCACATTATCCAACAAATTTGACCAACAATCATGAGAACAGCCATTACACTTCAAATAACCTAATCAATATTCTTTACCAATCCCAGTAGTATCTATATTCTGGTAAAGCTTATCTGCAGGATACTTTACAATGTTTCACTCTAAACATATTATCTAGAAGAAATGTTATGACTACGATCAGACAATCAGTAGCTTCTTTTATCGAGTAAGTGTCAGACTATCTAACTTCAAGTAATTACACTGCAAAATTGTGGCTTGTTGTCCTATTTGGCATAATGGAACATATTTATCTTTCTATTCGAACTCTGGATTGTCAAAAGAAGTTGGGTCGTCATAAGGGTCCCTGAAAATTTATCAAAGACAAAAAGTGAAGGAAGCCATCACCGTATTTGAAATAGCTTATGGCATATTTGGTACCCTTATCTTGGTTTTTCATGTATCACTGCTAACGGACTGGCTCCTATAAATAACATCAACTTAAACACTTCTTGCCTCAAGAATACTGCTGTTAAATTTTTGGTTGAAAACACGTTCCTAGTCAACCAAGCAGAGGCGGATTTGACATTTGAACTTTATGGGTTCTGGATTCTAGGACAACGACCTCAAGCACTAGTAGCTGACTTCTGAATTTAATTTTTTATACATATTTAGCGAATTTTTACACATATAAAAGGTATAGGCCAAAGCTACAAGGTCTACCGAACCCGTATATTCAAGCCTGCATGTGCAACTTACCATGAACTGGAGGGAGAAAAAGCCTTTCCAAAACCCTAAACAGAAGCTTTGCTAACTGCTAAGTAACCCAAGCATACAACCGTTGCTTTTGATATGACATTTTGTTTTTTATAGTGCCGTTAGCAATTGCAAGTTCGAGTATCCTTAGACCAAACTATGGATACATTAGCAACAGGAAAAAAAAATTGGCATTACAGACAGAGAAGGCTGCATCAAAGAGAATATTCAGGATAATTCCCTCTATTTCAAGGGATTCAACCTGGACTGCAGCAAACTAAGCAAGATTGGTTGTGCAGATGTGGACTGAGGATTGTCAAGGTGAATGATGATTCTTGTCGAAGACTAAAATTGATTTTCACAGATTAGTCGTGGCAGATGAAACACTTTATCAAGCAGGTTTTCTGGGTAAAATGATAATCCATTAAATTTCTCCCCATTTTGGTGGGTTGTGAGGAAGGAAGATGTTCCTTTCCCTTATAAAGGACTTGTCTAGTAAAGTGACGGGATTTCCGTCCAGTGTTTAACAGCCATTATTCGAGTTGATGTTATTGAAAGGACCAAGCTTTAAAAGTGTTCATAAAGGACCAACTTACACTTACCACGATACTACAGTACCAAATATGCCAAAAACTCTTACTTGCAATGGTGGAGATGAAAAAGGTTTTACAGTTGTGCCATGTTTGTTTGTATTATCACTTGCGTTTCTTTTCACTGACAAGAGAAGCTTCGTATTTGCAGACTGCAGAACTTAAATTTGCATTTTCCAACTGTTCTTTATGTGAAAACTTGTTCTGCCAAGACAATACTTCAAATACTTTTTTTCAACTTCAACCAAATATTGTCCAAACTCCTACTTGGATCTTCGTGGAGAAATGCAGCTAAATAATTTTTCAAAGATACAAATACTATTCAATGAGAAAAAAAAAGTGAAAACAAAGAGAATGACTAAGGAAAAAAGACCAACTAGACATGTGAGCAACAACAGAGTCCTAGCATAACAAAATTCACATTTAATAGTATATAGGACAAATATCTTGCTCCCAAAGGGATTATTGAGTGGTCAAGACATATACCCAATAACAAGCTGGAGGTCTAAGGTTTAAATCCAAGTCACAACACTCCGTAAAAGCCTAACTCATCAACAACTAAAAAGCACTCAATAAGAGCCTATTTGCTCCACCGTTGGTGGACAAGATTACCGGGCACCTGCATTGCGCCCACGTTTGAGGACTGTAGCAAGTTGTAGAGTGAATTAGTCGAGGTGCGCAAGCTAGTTCCAATACCACCATTTTGTAAACACACACACACACAGACATATATCCTGTCCAATTACAAGTCTGACATCTAGTAAACAACTTTAAAAATTTAAAAACAAAGGGATCAAGACATATAGACATGATTGGCGCAGCCACATTTTAATGTCAGAATACAAACGAAAATGCACGAAGAATTCATCTTCCACTATCCTCCAAATCCATCAAAGTTAGCAAACATACTTACGAGTTACCATCAAGGTCATACTACAGGAATTTTGCTTATATCTTCACATTGAGCCATCGTATTATTAACATGTTAGCATAGCTTGTCGCCGAGCAGTAAACAAAAATTATATATATCACATGCCTATCTCCAAAAGTTTAGAATCTCACTCCGCAAAAGGCAAGACGACTAACATCATGAGATCCGAAATGCAGGGGCAGATACAGGATTTGCATTTATGAGTTCGAGTTTGGGATTCTACCACAACTCATTTACCCCCTGGGTTCGAAATCAGTTATTGTACTATCTAGTGAACTCGAATGATCCCATACCTTAAACTTTACATGTGTCCCTACCGAAAGGGAAAGTCAACTGGTGTTCGAAAAAGGAAATCAAAATTCCAGCCATTTTCCTTTGATAACTGATTTACAAATTATACTATTACAAATTGTGAAATACATAAGTAGATCGCCGATTATAATGATTAGCACATGGAACAGCAATAAAAACGCACGTAGTGATGGGGGAAATACCTGACTGAACTTGAGGACGTGCTCTTCGCCGGGAAGTTGAAGATTGCCACTAACAAAGACAAGCATGCCGCCGATAGGACCAGAGGGCTGACAATCGACGGTGTTGATCTGGTGCTTGCACTGCTGGAAGGGCAGACTGGTAAGCTTAGCCACAATATGCTGAGCACCTTGAATCTTCACCCCTTCGAAACTTAACATAGAATTTTCTTGGTACAGGTTCGCAAGCCCGGCCCGATTCGAATCGAAGGTGGAGTAGTAGTGCTCCACGAATGCCGTTGCAACTGCGTCTGGATTCATTGCCCCGATTTGAATTCGGAATTTGCTCTCTCCCTTCTTTGCCTCTTTCCTTAACGCAGGCCCGTCAAAACACTCTGTATTATTGGTGAGTAGCTGGAATAATACGCTACAGGAGGAGCCCAAAAGATAAGAATATTAACCCCTGACAGGTCAAACAAATTTCCTTTTATTTGGTTTCCCATCTTGTTACCGTTTTTGGGTCTCCACGGTAAAACATGATTTAATTGAAACTTGAAAAAAAGAGTTTTTAAAGTCGTGTTTAAAACTAACTTTTACATTTTAAAATTGTATTTGAGCATGCATTTTATTTGAAGAAACGTTAGAAGTTTATTT